CCTCATGCAAAGACATTGACTGCACACCTACCTGGTGTCAGGAGCTATGTTGGTCTCTCTGGTGACACCAGAGAGAAGACAAACATTGCTAAGCAGAGCTGGGCCCTTAGAATCCATTGGCCTACAGTGTTGCTGGATCAACTGCACAGTCCTGTTGCCCCCAGTACTTGTATCACTACTGCTCTTGTCTGCTTTCCTGTTTTTATCTCTATTTCTTCTTTCTTCTGGCTTCTTGAGTTTAGTTCAAAGACAAACTAGCTTTTACACGAACTGCTGTCTAATGAGATGGTTCCTTGTGGAGAGGATCTTTATGCTGCACACATTTGTGTAATATTCATGTATTTGGCATTTGTCTATTTCACTAGTGCTCTGACTAGAGGCTCACAAGTTTTCCAGGTGGTTGAAGGAGCCAGAAAACTGAGCCCCACGGAAAACTAAGATAGAGTAAGGGTACCTAGGTATACAGTTACCAGGCCTACTTCTTTTTTTAAAATGTAACTTAACTAATGCTGTTTATAAAAATTGCCCTATAAAAAGTATGCACAAATATACCCTACATAGTGGTACTTTTTAAACTTTCACTAAACCTAAAAAAAAAAATTTCCCTAAAATGAAATGGTTACTTAATTCCCTATAAACTTAATTAGTTTCTTAAAGGAATCTTCCTTTTTTAAAATCTCTCCCCTCCCCCCTGAATTTTCTTCCTTCCATTCAAAATCATATGCTGAATTCCTATAATCTCTTGGCAATGTGCTAATACTTCAGAATGTACATTCATGTTGGTCTTGAGGATTTTTACCTTAGGTTTATTTCTTCTTATTTCTTCTTCACAGAAAGAAGAAATCAGAAGAACTTGTTGAATTTATTACTCTGGAGAGAAATATGTATATATATGGGGGAGGGTAAAGTATGTTCGAGGGAGAATAGGGAGGCACAGTCTGGGCCATCCAGAAGTCAAGAGAAATGATCAAATTACAGAAAATTTCAATGAACAAAAAGAATACATTATCCCAACTTATTAACATCACAACATACTGAAATACCAGAAAACTTAAAAGTTTTTACAGACTAATTAAAACTGCATTTTAACTCATCAAGAAATGGTAAGTCAAGTTGTGATTCTGAATTAATGAATCTTCGAGGAAAAAGACACTATGGGTTAAGAAAGATGTACACAGAGAACAGCAGTGTTTTAAAAGAGCTTTCTGAGCTGAGGCCTGAGAAGTTATACTTTAATATTCATCTATTTTGGTTCTTTGGAAATATAACTTTCATAGAAGATAAGAATTTGGTGGATCATGTAGCAGAACTTAGACTTTTAGGAAGCATTTGACAAGATTCTATGAAAGAGATCAATGACTAAGGTGTAAGTCACATAATAAAAGATTCAGTAGAGAAAAATGAGACTTTTGGTTAAGGTTCGATGAACACACATTTTGCTACCTTTCTGAGTCCTGCTAAGTAATGTAAAGGGATATTTTTAGCCTACAAAGTTAAATCTATAAGGACAAAAGTAATGGAAGCTAGTGGAGATAATGAAGAAACAATCTAAGTAGGTACTTCTGAAAGTAGAGGGTTGCATGTGGGGCTGAAATCAGGAAGCATGGCTAAGAGGGGGTTGGACTCCCAATCCTCTTACTGACATTGAGGCACATTCTCCGGTAGAAGATAAACAGAAAGGCCTTGAACTAGGAGAATACCAGGCACAGTGAGGGTAGGGCCACTATGCTGAGACTTGAGACATTTAATTGAAGTCACACAGTGCAAATCTTTCCCTCCTTCTCAGCTCTCAGAGTTCTAGCAACCCAAATTTATATCCCCTAAGAAGGAGATTAGAAGAAGGTTCTCTGGAATAGGGTCCACCTGAGATGGAAGACCAACAAAATGACACAGAGTCCTGCAAGGAAACAGCTTAGCCCAAATGACCATTCAGTGAAGACTACTGTCAGTAAGCCCCTCCATGTGCACACAAACTTCCCAACAGCTTTCTACTCCACTACTCTTACATAGGAGCAAACAGTCAGGCATCCTAGATGTTTGAGGAAAGCACCTCACATGATAGAGAAAGAGCTCAAATATAAGCAGAAATGCATTTTTGAAGAAAAGTATGCATCAAAATTTTTAAAAATAATTTATAATTATGGTACCAGGGTTATTAACTACAGGAAAAATACTGTCCTGGAAAAAAATAATCATGATACATTACACGACTCAGAGGTGAATAATACTTATAAAGTCATAACAAGCCAATGAGAACACTGATCCTAGTGAAATTATAATGCACTGGGAGGATGGAGAAGAGAAGTGTGACTGTGTGGGGAGGAATATCCATCTTAATAATCAATAGATATTGTCTGAAACTGAAAAAAATTAAGAAGTATCAATAAAAACATGTTATTTAGAGATATGTAGGTAAACACCAGAGTGGGGGCTGGAGAATCAGCAGAAAGTAGTTACTTCTGGAAGTGGATAACTGGGGGGTAAGAAGAGAACAGGAGATTGTCATTTTTTGGTAACAGTGATAAAGAACCAAATGACTTTTTTACTACATACACATACTTTCTTTAATATCAGCATATGATACATTATTTATATGTTTATATTGCTTTATGTGCAGCTCATGGGAGATGCTAAATATGTATTGAATGAAGGCCTTTCCACAAAACTTTACTGGGTACAGAGGTTAACATGGCAAGTCCTTAATGAGGTTTTATGATTCATGATCCAGACTTTCACTCATTACTCAATATCACGGAAGACACAGGTCTCTATGTTCTAGAAATTACAGTAAATAATCTCTCATATCTGCCATCATATGTGGAAATGGAAATGTACAGAAATTCTCATTAACTTCTGGTTTATAATTATTTTGTTTCCAAACAAATTCCACAGTTCTCTACCAAATTCTAAATTATTTGTGTATGAAATATAGGGCTTAACATTGTTCCCGTTACATATTCAGTACTCAATACATTTTTTGAAAAAGAATGGAGAGAAATAGTCAAGGCACCAGATTTACAGGAGTGAAATGTTCTGATACTCAACCTTACCTTTGAGGCCTTTGCTCAATATTTTAGAGCTGAGTGTGATTATCATACCAGGGACCCAGCCCATGCTCAATCCACTTGGCTCTGCTATGGATACTAGGCAGGCTGCTCCTTGCATCTCACTGCCATTCATTTACAGTGCAGGAAGTAATGCAGGAATTAGAGCCAGTCATATCTAAATTCGAATTACACCTCCTGCATTAACCAGTTGTGTATGCTAGCCTAGGGGGTAAATTCCCATTTTCCTTCTATCTTTCTAAGTCTCAGTGTGGCAACTGTTGCAATATCCACTCTTCCTCCTTTACAGATGCCCCTTGATTTACATTGGGGTTACATCTGGATAAGTTGAAAAATATCCAAAACTGAAAATACACCAGTACCCTTAACCTATTGAACATCATAGCTTAGCAATATGGTATACTGTGGAGAATCAGTTGTCTACCATTATGACCATGTGGCTGACTGGAAGCTTGGGTTTGCTACCAATGTCCAGCACCATCAAAAAGGAATATCAGGTATTACTAGCCAGGGGGGAAAAACAGATTCAAAATATGAAACATGGTTTCTGAGATGTATCACTTTTACTCTATCATGAAGTCGATGATAAGTCAATATTAAAGAACTTCTTAAGCTTTAGGTGGACATAAGGTTTCCCTGTTAGAGACCACATTTCCTAGCCTCTCTTGTAGCTAGCTGGAGCTGAGTTCTGTCAATGGACAGTGAACAGAAGAGAACCGAGCCACTTCCATGTCACACTCCTAAAGGGAAAGGTCTTACTACTGTCACCCTTACCTTTCCCTCTATGAACAGGACAGTCACAACTGAAGGAGCACAGTCATTTTAAGAGGAGCTGAAGCAATCACTTTGTGCCTAGAGATGGAAATCATGTAGTGAGGATAGCAGAGATACCCTACCAGTCTTGTTCTGCTTAATCCTTGGACCAGTTATAAACTTTTAATCTTATTTAAGCCATTCTTTTGGGTTCTCTATCACAAAAGCTTAGACCATACTATACTATAGGCAGTTTTCTTGTTATACAATGAGAATGATATCCAGTAGGGCTGTTGAAAGGAGGAGGGGCTCAAAACAGTGACAGTTATTGTTATCCAGACTTCTGACGTTTTCTTTTAATCTGATACCAAAGTCATGGTCTGAGCAGAATCTTCTCTGAAAGTAAGACACCTAGAGTAGTGTGATTAGTGCCAGAAACAGTCACGAGCAAGACTGGGCAGTCTAGAACTACCTGTACATCCCTTGTCTCCCAAGCTATGAGGTCAGCCAGTGGCCAGCAGGTTAGTGAAACCACAGGAAGAGAAATCTTTGTGGAAGGGGTGAGGACAGATGTTTGTAAAAAGGAAGTGGATTGCCTATACAAATGTTATACTAGTTCCATTCTTTATCTCTTCATAATAAATTTCTTAGTATAATATCCAGTTCTGTGGAATTGGATCTAGTTTGAGGTTGTGTTTAAAATGTTGAGTAAGTAAGATCAAGTCTTAAAGGTAAGAGCCGAGAAAAAACTGGGATCCTCAATGCAGGGGGTTAAAAAAAGTGCAAGCTATCCAGGATTTGCTGCATTGCGGAAAGGTATCTGAAGCCAGCCTGGGTACCAGCACCCTCAGACACTGCACAGTCATTACAAGGTGGAAACTAGTGCTTTTAGAGTGCACACAGAACAGAAACTGGAAATACACTAATAGGTTCTTAATTAGTCATCTAATATTTTCTCCCAGCCTTCTTACCAAAAATAATTGGAGGGGCAGGGATTTAGCTCAGTGGTTCCGGCACCTGTTGAGCAAGCGCAAGGTCCTGAGTTCGATCCCCGGTACCAAAAAAAAAAAAAAATTGGAACATCCTTCTATTAATAATAAATTTCTAAATTTACATTTCATCAGGGAGATTTTCTACATAATTAAATATCAACAAATAATAAAGAAATTTCTCAACACTTACCCCATTGTATTATGGGCTTGGTTCTCCATGTCAAGAAACTGCTACATCTGGTTTATACTTCTTGATTTTTAATCTGTTAGAAAAAAAATGATCTAGATTCCTGAAATGATTAGATTTATTAACCTATAAAACATAAAAATTTTGTTACTGGCAAACAAGTTAGTATGAGTTTTCCTGAGGGTGGCAGCTCTGGGCTCTGCACAATGCAGAAACTTGGTTTCTTGGGTGAACAGGTTTGAGTTTGAGTGTTCCCATGAAGTGATAAGTTGAAATGTGTTAGTGACTAAAAAGAGCATCCATGTTCTATTTACTACTGAACAACAATTTGGAATCAGGTACTTTGCAAAGTGCTCAGTACAGGAAGATGCATAAAACAGAATTCTTTATTCAAGAGGAGTTCCAGCAGAGCTTATCAAACTTTCCAGACTGGTAGATCCCCTAGTTTGAGTACATTCTTTCTTTGGCCCATGACTGTTGTTATTATTAAATTTAGGACCAAAAAAATCTAGGAGTTGCTGTAAAATAGAAATCTTACAATTCCTCAATGGTTTTGTAAACACTGTCTCCTTTCTTGTCAAAACAGAGATGTTAGGACTTGCTTGAAGTTTTAAAAAAAGAAAAGCTTGTCCCAGCCACAAAGTTTTAGTTAAAAAATAATCTATGAGGATAAATGAACAAAGTATTGAAAAGAACTTCAGCTCTTCAAATTGCTACATAAAAGTCAATGAAATAGCACTGGAGCAAGGACTAGGGAGGGTTAAAGACCATTGGTATAGGAGAGGGAGACTTTGGGGCTTACATCACTTCCACGTCAAAGGAATTTAAGAGACAATGGAACTGTGTGTGAGGTGAACGAAACTAGAGCAGAATGTTCAGCTGAATAAATGATTCTGTAGGGAATGTGAAGCGCGGACAAGCTAAGTGACTTGTCCAAGGCCACACAAGCAGCATCTGAATCACTGCTCTGGACTTTCCCAGGCCGGTCCTCCCCACTGCCCTGGTCAAGCCCACCCTCCGCGGGGCCGCCAGCGTGTAGGGGTTCCCATCCCTCTAGCGGGCCAGGTCAGCTCCCAGCACGTGCCGCCCCGGGCGAGGGCCGGGGAGGCCCGGGATCGGTTACCTGCGCCACGCCGGGCTCGCCCTTAGGTCTGAGGCCTGGCCACCGGACCTCTCGGGTCACCGCCCGTCGGGGTGGGGTGGGGTGGGCCCGGCCACCAGCCGCCGCTCCTCCGCCGCTGTGCCCGCCCACCCAGCGGCCAGGCGGTTTGCTCCTCTTGCAGCTTCCCGCTGCCCGCCAGCCACGCCGCCGCGGGTTGCCATGGTGACGAGGCCCCACCTCGCCGCCGCCTGGGAAGGGGAGGGGCGCGACCCGCGCCCGGGAGCAGCTTCGCGCCGGCCCCGCTGCTTGCCCAAATTTACCACGTGCGAGCGCGACTCGCTGCCATTAGGCGCTTAGGTTCTGCTCACCCTACACATCTGGACCCTGTGGTGGGTCCTTTTCTCTTTGCAATCCCACTGTCCACTGCCAGGCACCCAACAGTCCCCGAGAGAGATATTTGTTGAATGAATGACTGAATGAGGAGATAACGAAGCGTCCGATTTCCCTAAATCCGCCTCACTCTGTCCTCTCACCCAAATTTGAAACGATATCAAAAAGAAGGTAAAGAGAACTACGTACCTTTCTCTCTGTTCACCCAAGTGTCCTCCAGCTGGGGAGAGCTGATTGTCTTTCAACTGCATTGCTCAGCCCAAAGTCACTGGTGGTGGTGACAGCAGCATTTGTACCTCAGTGTCCCAAACAGCTCCTCCTGTACTTAGAAAACTGCCAGTGAGGTGAGCAGGCTGTGTTGCCTCCCTTTCAGGAAGAAGGAAATAGCTTCCAGCTGGGGAACAGGAACGGAACTCAAGGGAACTGATTCCAAATTCTTTCCTTATTCTGCTAAATTCCAAAAATAATTGACGTCAGAATCTCTTGATTTCATAGAGAACCCCCTTGATTTCACAGAAAAATGTTGATAAAATAGTACATATTTACACATAAAGAAACATATATACTCTATAATCTCAAGCACTTGAATTTTGTGTTTCGGAAATGTTGAATTTATTTTAGAAACAATTCCTTTCCAATACATCCAGTCAATTAATCTCTAATTCTTTTTTTTTTTCTTGGTACCGGGGATCGAACTTGGGTCCTTGCGCTTGCGCAGCAGGTGGCAAAACCACTGAGCTAAATCTCCAGTCCTAATCTCTAATTCTTAAAATCTTTCACTTGCCCTCATTTTCATAACAACATCAATTTGCTCCTTTAATGGGGATATTATTTAAAAAATCAACTCACATTCTTCCATTCAGGTTACTTCCAAATTTCATAAAACCATTTTGGCTCTCTTAATAAATTCAGTTTCGTAAATAGATTATGTACAGGAATTCAGGACATTAGTTCTAATTAGTATTTCACAGCCCTCATATTATTATTGAATGAAGAAAGTGATTATTTCACTTTACCTTAAAACTTTCTATTATTCTGAAAACCTTAATCATATTCTTTATTCTTGTCTAAACTGAATGGGTCAGCATATTTTTCCTGACTTAAAGTAAACTGAACTAGGGGTCGGGGATTTAGCTCAGTGGTTTCACCGCCTGCTGCACAAGCGCAAGGACCTGAGTTCGATCCCCAGTACCAAAAAAAAAAAAAAAGTAAACTGAACTAGGAAAAAATTGTAGTGAAATTTTAAGGTGCTCAAGATCATTCACTCTGCATAGCTTGTTACCATATTCATTATTTCCTTTCAGCTCAGAAATACTCTGTGAGGCAATGGTAATAAGTAATATTAATAATTTCTTTTAATAGATTAGGAAACCCAGACTTAGAATAAAAGATTTGTCCAAGAGGATACCACTGGTTCAAGTAGGTCATCTTATTCCAAGGCTGGTGCTCTTCAAACTGCCAAAAATTAGGGTTGAACATACTTCTTTGGAGGTCAGGGCCTTGCACAGGTAACTATAGATTTCACATTTTCAGAAGAAAGAGTGAGTGGGGAAGGGCTTGCAAAACCTATAAGAAGAAGTATACTGAATAGATTTTAGGAAAATTTAAACTTAAACTAGACCCTCTCCTCCATTCAGTTTAATAGGAATAAAGATTTTCATTTCAGGATGAATGGTAAGATTTGAATGCAAAAGCCTGTATGCACCTCTCAGCCCCACTCCTCAGGAAGAAGGAACTGCAAAGATTTGAATTCATCCTGTATGTATCTATTATTAGATCTTTACAAATGAATTTGTTTTGAAAGAGGAGATTTAAAAGGCCTCAAATTGAAAGGAGGGGACAAATGCGAGCAAGGTGGAAAGCTTTCTCAAGCGAGCTGGTGAGAGGTGGGCAGAGAGCTTAGTCCTGAAAGAGTATTGAAGGACACAGCAAAATCAGGACAAAATATAAAATATAACCAGAAGTGTTCAAAAGAGAATAGAGGAGGCAGAAATGGATGAAGAACAGGATGATGTGTGAAGGAAAAGCTGAGGAACCAATTACAGAGAATAAATAATAATCATAGCAATAGACTATTAAAAATTGAAAACCATAACAAAACCATTTTCATTATGAAATTTACAATAGCAAAATAGAAAATGACAGTGCAATGTTAATATATGTGTGGCTATATAAAATAACTTGATGTAGGTCTTTGTATTTAATGAAATGCAGAATTATTTGTATATTTTTGAAAACAAGTTCAAAAATTATATATGCATTACAGTAAAAACTAAGGGTATCTTATACGTGGAAAATACTTTAGAAAAAAATTTAACACAATAATAATCAAATAATCATAGGATTGGAAGGAACTATAGAGGGGATATAGTCAATCATCTTCCCTTTTATATGAAGAAACTCAGACCCAGAGTTATAATTATTTGGCTAATCTCATTGTTAGTTAATGACAAGAATAAAGATCATAATCCAAATTTTTTTCTTATTATGCTATGCTACTTCTATAATGGAAGCAGAGGACGTTAACTTCAATAATATGTCCTAAATATATCTAAAATATTATTATTTCAACATGTAGTCAATATAAAAATTATGTGAGTTTTCCTACTAGGTTTTTAAAATCTGATTTATAGTTCATATTTACAGCTCAGTCATTTATACTGGCCATGTGCAAGAGGTCAGCAGTCATACATGACTGGTACATAACATTAAACAGCAAAATCTGAGAACTTGAGTGCCTGGACAATGTATTAAAGCCCTTCATTAAGTATGAATGGTCATACAATAACAGATTCTAAATTATTTGAGTGTGATTTGAGAGGAATTATGAAGGTACCCTATCCCAAAACCCTCACTGAACCTGCTCTGGATTAGGAGAGGGATTGAATATCCAAAGAGAAATATGTAAATTTGAGCCCTTAGCCAGGCAGGGTAAGGTCTTTCATTTTGTCGTGTCTGTAGGCCTGTAGGTTGTCACTAGTAAGAGCTGTTTCTCCAGTGAGCATTCAGATTAGATAGAAGGAACTTACCTTTTAGTCTTTGTTGGCCAGAAGCCTAGGTACCAAGTGAGCATGTACTCATGATAGGAATTAGGCACACCAAGTCTCATTTTAGGTTCAGAAAATAAAACCAAATTCCTAGGAAAATGTCAGTCATGAATCTCCGTATTTATCCTGTTTATGGACCCTTAAAGCTTTATCAATGCCATCCTCTCTTGAATATTAGGGAAACAAAGAGAGAAAGATCTTGTACAGTCATGAGTAAAGTTTTATATACATAATATTTATGTCCTAGAGCCAGACATACATACCTCAGGCATTGGTGCAGTCAAAGGTCCTTAATGGGACAATGAGGAAAGTTGTGCTTGTCTGCTTAAGTGTTTTTTAACATTTGGGTCAACTTTTTTCTGGGAACTTGTTCTGTTAGAACCTTTAGTTAATATGATAATGAAAAATTATTGAGTCAAAAATCTAAAAGATAAGAACTTAGAGAAGTGAGCTCACCATTCAATGCTGTTTTTGTCTTTGAGGCATTGATGCTCTGCAAGAAATAGCGGCAAAACTGAGGGCCAATTATAATAGCCTTGTGGCACTAAGGAGACAAAAAACAAAGCATGGGCTCACCCCAGGTGGGGAGTCAATAAATAAAAATCTGTCTATAAGCTGAGACCTCCAAACACTTTGACCTCAGGAAAATGGTGAAATAGAAATGAACCACTGATCTCACCAATTTGCAGCCAGCTTTGGCTCACTTAGATAATTTGGGATAGCCTCAGTCTTCGAATTGAAAATAAGATGGTATGGACTGACAGATTAAAACATTTGGAAGAAGCAAGTAAAAATTTCCTCTGGTTAAGATAAAATCATTCTTGGGCTCAAATTACTCCTAAAAGTAATTGCCTAACTACAATTACCAGAACGCATGCAGGACCAAGAAATAAGACACTATGAGGGGAAACCAGTAGAAGCAGTAGACCACAGAAACAACCAGAGAAACTTTGGATATTGCAACCAGACAATGATTATAAAAATGTAGATATTACATTTATAGAAATAAAAGATAATATTGAAAAAAATCTTTAGGGAACATTAAACATAAAATATTTGAAAAGAAACCAAATAGAAATTCTAAAATTAAAAAAATTACTAATAACAAAAAGTAAGAATATGAATGTATAATGGTAGATTTGAGATAGGTGAATAACTTGTAAACTGGAAAACAGATCAGTAGGAAGTGTTCAGATTAAACGGAAAAGAAAAATAATGGAAAACATTTTTATAAAAGTTTTTACAGCTTTAGTATCTATCAGTGGAATTTTTATTGTTATAAAAGTAAAAAATGTGAAAGTATTTAACACATGCCTTAGCATTAGGGGGTACTCCAGAAGGATTTGCTGAATTTGACGTTTAAAAAATTAACTTGGTTATTTTGCAAATCATCTGTGTCATTTTATATAATTTCTATTTTTGTCAAACTGTTCCAACTTTTAATGTTTAATGTGTATTAATAATAATCATTTTCTATTTTGTGTCTTGTAACCATTTTTGGAAATATTTGGATCTATTGCTATTCCTTCTTACTCAAATGGTATGTTTCTTGTGTGTTTTATATAGATTTTGACTAGGCGATTCTTTTGAAGGGAGAATTTTATTTCTGGAACATCTTTCAGACCAACATTAAGTTTGAATTCTTCCAGAGAGGATTTGCATTTGCTTTTGAGAATTGCCTGGGAGCATGACCAAACCACCTTATTGCATTAAAAACTTTCACAGGTGACTTAGACAACACAAATAATATTAATGAATGAATGCAAGAAAAATAAGTGTTAGCATCAGCTTACTATACAAATTTTGTTTTTCTTCATCTAGTGCCAAAGTCAAAAAGTGCATGTTTCAGCTCTTCCTTTTTTGTGCTTTTGTAAAAAAGTGATTTTCTACTTTAAATAGTTGTACATTTACAGAAAAAAATGTGAAGATAATATAGAGTTCCCATTTACCTTATACCCAGTACCTCCCTTTATCAACATCTTACATTCATCTAGTTTATTTGTTCCAATCACTAAAAAAAACCTGACATTATTATTAATTCAAGTTCATTTTTTATTGAGTTCCTTCATGTTTTACCTAATATAGAATTTCATATTAGAATGCCTTCCAGGACACCATATTACATTCAGTTATCATATCTTCTTAGGCACCTCTAGAAAACTAGAAAGTTTCTAACATTGTTTTTGATGATTTTGACAGTTTTGAAGAGGGTTTGTTAGGTATTTTGTAGAATGTCCCTCAATTGGAGTTAGTGTATTTTTTCTCATGATTAAACTGGGAGGAAAGTCACAGGGTAAGCTACCATTTTCATCACATTTATCAAAGACACATACTGTCAACATGATTTTTGGCTGTT